AGTATGGGTTAACTTCAAAGTCGTAACTTCTCGGTGCAAGAAAAGATTGGAATATTCTTGTATACACTTGCTTTAGGTCTTTCGAACGGGGATAATAGTGAAGGATTCCAATGCTCTGGAGAAACAATGGGTCGAGCTTTTCATGATGTGTTGGAATCCATATGTGGACAGAGAAAGGGTTCATGGGTCTTTCATGTGATTATATTAAATCGAAAGATTCAACATTTCAATGCATACCACCACATATTGAAAATGATAGTAGATGCATGCCTTAGGGGCCGTTTACCAAACACTTACTTGGGAAAGTGACACAAAGTCGCATTACCTTACCGGATGAATATGGTAAAGACCAAAAAGTCTTATTCGGTAAAAGCGAGACAAGAACCAAAAGAATATTTTAGTCTCAAACCAATTGGAGACCCTTGTTTCTCGAATTACAGGAACCCTAGTTTATTTTCTTTCGTTCAGTTACTATGGTTTGTAACAGTTGGTATCAAAGCAACGATCTTGGTCAATCACCAGAATCGTTGCAATATTATGCACGACGTCATTGTTCATCACGCCAATGTTCACGTCAAAGAATTTTACTTGATTTTCCTTTCGTTGAACGATCTTCTAACCATGGAAAAAAAAAAAAATTGGAAGCATGGAAGTAGATTTCACCTAATTTCGAATGCAGCTCAAGGAAAAAGTAAAAGGAGACCACCTAAAAGATTGACGACATTATCAAGGCCATCAGTGACTTGACTGCTTCGATGGGTAATTTGTCTACCAAGGTAGACCGCATGCAACTCGAGACAAAAGGCGTTCGTTACGATGGTCTGGGTTTTTTATTGCCTCCCTATGGGGTTAATACAAGTGTATCAGGAGAAAAAAAAAAGGCAATGAGAGGGAGAACAAGCATGGGATCAAGTATGAATGGGCCAAAAACGGGAGTTGGTTCAAAGGGTACCGAGTACAGGAAACTGAAAATTCCGATAATTGAAGGTGAGGATGCATATGGGTGGATTTACCACGTAGAACGTTTTGTTTGAAATTCAAGGAATCGAAGAAGGTGAACAACTCAGGGTAGCGGCTCTATATATGAAGGGAACCACTTTGTCATGGTATCGTTATTTTGTTAGGGCGAGGGCAAGTCACTGTTTTGGACGTAGGAAGGGTTGAAGAGATGGTTAATAGATTGATTCCAACCATTGTATGAAGGAAGTTTATATGAGGAATACCTAGCTATCATCAAGAGGGGACAACCCGAGATTATGTAAGTACCTTCAAAAAATTGGCGTGACAATTAGGGGGATTGCCTGAACCGATTATGGAGGGGACATTTATGAAGGGTCTAAAACCTGAACTAAAATCCTCGGTGATAGTCATGCAGCCTGAAAGTCTGACCATACTACGAGAATTACAGTAATGTAAGATGAAAACCATGTCAGTGGGGATTTGTCATGATTAGAAAGAAGGGTTACAAGACAACAAGGGCCATTCGTAACATAAACCTAAGTAATTGAAATGTGTTAGCGGGTTGTTATTATTCTTGCTACTATTTATTTAAATATATGTTAACAAACCTTATTACATTTGTTGCTACGTATTTTAATACGATGAAATGTGTTGGTGGTTTGTTTTAATTATAATATTATAATGTTAAAAACATGTTAGTGCTTCATTTTAATTATATAATGTTAAAAATATGTTAGTGGTTTATTTTAACCATATTGTTAGAATTGAGTAATTCTAAGGATTGTTTATTTTAATTATATATAATGTTAAAATTGAATAATTTTTAAACATGTTTTTTTTGGTCATTTTACATTTGTTAACTAGCTTAGCAACTAGTTTTTTTGCCAAATGTGTTTAGTTCATCAACTGACTCAACTATCAGCTAGCTTGCTAAACATAACCTTAATTAGAGATGGAGGGACTGTTAAGAACATCTCAAACATATTCCCCAAAATGAAGATAATGGAGATTTTTTTTGATATAGAGGGGGAGGCCCCTCCTATCAAGAGAAAAATCAAAACATTGAAAACGATAGATTAAGCGCTCGGGTATGGGTAAAACTGCATCCACCAGATAGAAACCAAGGCTCCCAAAGGGAAAGAAAGGAAGAAAACGGGGGAGAGGAAGAGAAGCACCAACCACTAGGGAAGGTTCCAGACAAGCCTAGCCCGAACAACATTCGGAAAAGGCTTAAGGGTCAGGCTAAGAAGCTAGACCAGACATCATCAGAGATGATCTTGACCACCATGTCATAAGATCTTCTCTTATTCTTGAAGATACAATCATTTCTCTCCTGCCAAAGGTGGTAGAAGGTTCTAACAAGTACTAATTTGGGAATAATAGACCAAATGGTCTTGCTTTTGGTGGCTTGCTGGAGGACCCTGATGATATCAACCTAGTTGTCCTGGACAACATGGAGTTTCAGCTTGGGCTTAAGCTCATTCCAAACCTGATTGGGAAATAAGCACTCAAAGAAAATGTGCTAACGAGAATCATAACCATTTTGACAAAACCCACAAGACAGATTAAGGTAGGCTTCTCAAAACCGAAGTTTATCATGCGTCTTGAGACGTTGCTTCATGACAACCCAAATAATAAAAGCATGTTCGCGAATATTTTACAAAAACCAGACCATGTGGTACCAACCGATGTCAAGCTCATTGGGACGAATGGTAAGCCAAACATCATGAACCAAAAACTGCGTAAGGCAACCATCCCTTTTCCTCCAAAGAAGTTTGTCAATGACATAAAGGAAAAGGACAGGAGGAAATGATTACAGAAGATGGGATTGAAGCTATCTCACAGTTGGGAGCAGGTCCAACAATCATTACAGATAATATCCATGACTCTAGCATCATGGGAAAGATTTGCATTAAGGATATTACGGATAATATCCTTGACTCGTTTTTTTAATCATAAAGAGTTTGAAAATGCTCTAATTAATATAGTTTGAAGTGTAATAATATAGAATTCCATCTAAAAACAGAATTGAAAAGGATGAAGGGATTTCAAAATCTTACTAATAATAGAAAGAAGAGGCAACAATAATTGTCGTCATACACATCAATTTCCATGCTATGCAAAGACCATATTAAAAGGAAAAAATAGATTTTGGAAACGGTGGAGGATTCAAAATCGTGCTGAAAATATAAAGAAAAAAGGTAACAATAATTACCATCATACGTCCACCACCACCACCAACCGCCCATGATTTTGTTTTCAACAAAATGCTGCAGTAAGACGTTATCGACGCCATCATGGTTGCTGCCGGGATCTCCATAGCTCAATCCTTCTATCACTTAGCTTGTGAGAAGTGTGTGTGAGAGATACGGCTGAGAGATGATACCAATGTTTGAGCTGCTTTGCTTCCCCCCTTTCATTTGCCTCTTCTCCTCGTCACCTAAAATTTCAAACCCTAGTTCTGATTGAGCCGGGAAATGCAGTCAGAAGGTTTAATTTCATTTACTGATATATACATATGCATCTATTTGCTTTTTTTTTAGCTGAAATGCTGTCTGGAAATCTTCGGATTGATGAGTTTGAATTTTCTGATGTTCGATTTATGTATTTATCTGCAGAATCTGACATCATCTTATGATTCGTTTTACTGTTTATTTGGACCTCATTTGCCTTGTAGTCACTTGCAGTGGTGATGTTGTTTAGTTTGTATGAATATTGCTGATTCTTACCTTTTCATACATCTGAACTAGAACCATCATTAAGGACCATTTATGATAGAAAAATAGATATATTACCACTTGGTTTTTTTTTTTTAAACGGAGCCTGGATACTTCAATGTAGTAGTCCAACTCAGCCAACCATAAATTCTTCTAATTGATAATAGTAATTCGAATCCCCCCAAAAATGGATATAATTGCACTTCAGGCTTCAAAATTTTGATGATTCAATTAATATTTCGTGGACAAATCAGAGGATATCTCGATTGGGGAGAAAACAGGGAAATCCCATATGACTCAATATATCTAACAGTTGTTGGGAAACGATGCTCGAGATCGCTCACACAAATACGGTGACGATAAAGTAAGAACAGAAAAAAGAGAAAGAAGAAAAAGAACACACGATTTTACGTGGTTCACTTGATCAGTTTGATCAAGCTAGTCCACGGCCACACTAGTAAGGGTTTTACTGATATGACGGCTAGAGTTTACAATTACATGAGATTGAATTTATAGAAGAAAAATAGGTTAAACTCCCAAGTGGGCTGGACCCATAATCTTGAGAGTTTCCTTTCTCTAATATTTGGCCCAACTGAATCAGACTCCATAACTTAACAGTTTGAGCAAATGGTTGATTCCCAGCTGCTTAACTGGCCTCACACTAAACTCGCCCCTAGGAACCATATGCGAGGAGGCATTATTGAGTTAACTTAGCGGGATTCAAACTTGAACCTGAACCTGTTGTGTATTTGAGCAAAGTCGTTCCGCCTCTTTCCAACTGAGTTACACACTCGAGGGGACCATTCCTGTTGTTGTTAACTCGAGAAATAATTAGATATGTTATTGTTGTAAGCAAGTTTCTAGAAATAAAGCCCTAGATCTTGTCTTATAACTTACTCTAGTACAGCAACCTTCATTTGATTTTTCAGGGTTTTGTGTTATTGCAGATGGTATTACGTTCATAGGCTGGTTGTTCACCGTTTAGTTCGGCCATGGTCATGTTTTGATGCATAAATCTGTGGAGATTTCTATTTTTGTCGAAACAAGGAGCCGTGAAGTTCTTTTCACAGGTTCGGCCTGTTTGTTTTGAAGTTTATTTGATCAAGGAAGCAAGAGAGATCCTTTGAATGAAGGGTCATTGTATCAAATCCTTAAAGATGTTGTTGAGCTGCGGTATCGAGGATTTCCATGATGATGGTTTTGAGGGTTCAGTGGATGAGGACCACATATTTAGAGAGGTGTTCTTTGGATATGAAAGTGGTAGGAGTAAAAGTTGTTTTGTAACTGGATCAATCACTTTTGAAAATCACAAAAAGATGCCTAAAAATATCTCATTTTGTTCAGACAGTGACAATTCAGTCATGACAAGTCAGGAAGACTTTCAGAGTAGCATCTCTGAAGAGTTTGCTTTATTGATGAGAAATGGTCCCGATGTTGAAGTTAAGCGAAGTAAGGTATTGTCATCCGGAGAACATTCTAACACTAAATATTATCTGGAAAAGGTAGTTCAGTGTTCAAATGATCAGAAGGTATATGATGTAAGTAAAGCGATTACAGTACCTGTTTCTGAGGAAAGTCATGTCAAGAAGCTTTTAGTTACTAGGCCTAAACCAGTTCAATGTTCCAAGCAAAGATGGAAAGATTCTTCCTTCATTGAACTTGATAAAGATGAATTGTCGGTTCCCCTTAAAGATTCCACCGTGGATCCTAAATCCCATTTGCGTTATCACACGTATTGCTTACTTAGAGCAGCAGGGTGGGTAATTGGGAGGCGTAATAGAATCACACATTGTAAAGGGCGTGGAGAGTATGTCTTCAAATCTCCTGAAGGAAGACCAATTCGCCAATTTCATAGAGCTTGGGACATGTGTGGGAAAAGGTTAGTTGAAGATGCAAAATATATTGATTTCTGTGATGGCACACAGTGGACAGATTTGACCCAGTTTTGCTCTGATCTTTCTAATGCATTGACAGAGGTCGAAGAACTGAGAAATTCGAAAGCTGCAACTGCCTTAGCTCATCGGTGGTACGTGCTTGATCCCTTTGCGAAAGTGGTGTTCATTGACAAGAGTCTGGCCTTTCTGAAAGAAGGTAAAGAAGTCAAAGCAGAGAGAACAGTGATGAATAGTTTATATTTGAATTGTAATGTTTTAGCCTCGAAAAAAGTAGTTACAACTGCAAAGCAGAACACCAAAAAAACTGGGAAAAAGAGTAGTAGCATGGTTCCATTTCCCTCTCCAACCTGTAAATCCTATAGAACTTCTTGTCAAACAAATAACCTGTATGGAGTTCCAATTTCTTCTGCAACTGCAAATACATCAACTGGAGTGTCTGAATCTATCTATCTGTGTCAAAATGGCATGGAACTTTGGTCAGAGTGTATGGAGAAGGGTAAGAATTGCTATGAAACCCCACAAATAAGGATGGAGAATTCATCTTTTGCACTTGATGCTATCTTGAAAACGAATGAACATGGGAAATCAGAGAAGATACCCGAGATCAAGTTGACCAATTTGGTTGGACAGAATCAGTTTGGTTTTGGTTTTTATGCTCCTTATGGGTCGCATGAGATCAGTGAGAGTAGTGTTCAATTAAAATTAGATAATGCAGAAAGTTATGGAAGTTGTTTAAAGTCATCACTTTGCTCTTCGAAGGACGGCCTTAAGAAAAACCCATCAAGATTCAAGACATCAGCCCACGATTCTGCACGTCCTAAGAGCTCGGTGAGATGTGAAAAGTCCAATAAGCATCAAAAGAAGAAAAAAGGGAATTGTCACCTTAAGGATGATGATCTTTTACTCTCAGCTATACTAAGTAACCGATCTACAATAAAACGGTCAGGTGTTAAAAAGAATTCTCGTGTTCCTAAAGCTGTGAGGAAGTACAAGAGCCAAAAAGGCAGTTGCAGGTTGCTTCCACGCAGTTTTGCTAAGGGTGGACAGCAGCAGCATCACGTGCAAGGGAAGTGGTCTGGCCTTGGTGTAAGAGCTGTATTGACTTTGTTGATAGATCTTGGTGTTATTCATCTCAATGAAGTAATCCAATACCGGAACCTGAAGGATGATTCAGTGGTGAAGGATGGGCTTGTAACCCGAGATGGTATTCTATGTCGGTGTTGTAAGAAGGTGCTTTCTGTCTCTGAGTTCAAGAATCATGCTGGTTTTGGCATGAACAGTCCATGTTTGAATCTTTTTATGGAGTCTGGAAAATCATTCACCTTATGCCAACTGGAAGCTTGGTCAACTGAATACAAGGTCAGGAAAAGTGCCATACGAACTGTACACGATGAAGAGATTGACCAAAATGATGATAGTTGTGGTCTTTGTGGCGATGGAGGTGAGTTGATATGCTGCGATAACTGTCCCTCAACCTTTCATCAAGCATGCTTGTCTACACAGGTTTGTCTCTAGTTTCTTTGAACTTTGAGTTCTATCATCTTTTTTCCATACCCTTAAATCTGCACTCTAGTAGTTGTATAATTGACCGTTAGCAATTGCTTTGGTCAATAGGATTGAAGCCAATTTCATACTCTACATTCGATCAAATCCATAAATCCATGTAATCTTAATCCGTGTCATATTTCTTGGCAAAATCTAAGAGTTGCAGGGCATGTATGTAGAGCCATTATAGATTAGGGCCACCAGTAGAAAGACTGAAGTATAAATCTAAACAGAAGGGAAAAAGAGCAAAAGCATGGGCAAATTAGAGTCAAGTGACTGTTTTGGCTGCCACATCTAGGTTTAACCTACTTTGAACTCATGTGAACATCTTAAGAACCTAGGAGGTAGATGCATGTGCATCGTTGGTTTAGTTGGACCCTAATTCAGTGTGTGAGGGTTCGTTTGGTTTGGTTTAATATACTTGGGGCTTCGGTTTATTTTGATTTTGAATAAGCCATATACATGAGACATGTAAATATTAAATAAAATCTGCCTAGCCTCTTAATTCGTCTACTATATTTTTTTTTTGTGGGTGAGGTTCTAATCCATTTTTATGCTCATGCTTTTCCAGGAGATACCTGAAGGCAATTGGTATTGTTCAATGTGCTGTTGCTGCAGTTGCGGGAATGTAGTCAATCATATTGAGACGACATCGGTCTCTAAAGCGCTGAAATGTTTGCAGTGCGAACGGAAATGTAATTTTCTGTACTCATCAACCAGAAGTTGACCTGGCTTCTCGTCAATGTCCACTTAGTAATCCAACTATTTTTAGTACAAGTTAAATGTAGCAATTTAACTGTGTTGTCCATCATGAATTGTTGGTAGCGTTTTTCTGAATAGATATGGTGAATTGTCACTTTCCACCAGAACAAGATTATCTAACCTGTAGGGTTGTAATGCATAGGTGGATGCTTAAGTGGCCTTAAAGGCGTTGGGATGGAACACTGATCTCATGATGAATGCATGTATGTGCTGATTGTTGTCTTTCTTGTAAACAGATCATGAGGAATGCATCAAAGAGAACGGGATTGAGAGAGAATCGGCGGCTCCTTACTGGTTATGTGGAGAAACCTGTAAGAAGGTAATATGCAATTAATGTTTTTCCTGACTTTAATGGGAAATACGGTAAAGAATATCATGTGACTGCAGATAAACCAAATAGACCCAATATATCCCACTCGAAAGTAGGGTCTGGGAGGCGTGAGATGTACACAGACCTGACCTCGAAATAGTACTTTATTTCTAATTGTGTGTTAATGAGTATTCAGATCTCATGAATGGATGGGTGTGGTCTTTTGAAAAGTGGGTTTTGTTAAGGGGAGTTGGATCTGGATTCTAGAGTATGAAATTAGGTCATTGTTAGCTCTCCCTAGACCTTTTCTTGGATTTTCCTCTAACCGTTCTTGATCTGCCATGATAGTCAGCAAGGTAGCTTGGGATGAGGTTTTGTAGGGATAAAGTTGACTGTGTGTGTTAACCTAGCTGTATAGATTGGGAAGGTTTTTGTTGGGAAGGGGTTTTTCATAGATGGAGGAGCATGTTTTTTAATTGGGAGGGACATGTTTGGAAAAAATTGGCTTTCTGCATAAAGCTCTCCCCTAGAAGCTTACTGAATAAGCCACTTTCTATATCATTAAGCCACCACTAAACAGACATATATAGCTAATCTTGTTAACTAACATATCAGAAGCAATACTTTGACATTCGTGATAAGCTATTCGGTCTCTCTTTCGCAGATTCATTCAGGTCTTCAGTCCTGGATTGGATGTCTGAATCCCATCTCTGATGGTTTCTCGTGGACCATTCTGAGGTGTACTGGTGAACAACAGGTTCATTCTGCTCAGAGTTTTGTTGCTCTGAAGGCGGAATGCAATCTAAAACTGGCTGTTGCTCTTACTATCATGGAGGAGTGTTTTCTTCCGATGGTGGATACAAGGACAGGCATCCATATGATACCACATGTATTGTACAATTGGGGGTGAGCAACAGATTTCATTTCCTAACTTCTGTTTCATTTTTTCCACATAAACTCAATTGTTATCGCTGCCCTTTACATTAGACAATAATCTTTCGAAACGACGATTGGTTTTCTGCAGATCAGAATTCGTTCGTCTCAACTATGAGGGATTCTACACAGTGGTCCTGGAGAAAGATGACATTTTACTCTGTGCAGCATCCATAAGGTACCTCTAGTAGATGCTGAAATTTCTATATCTTATGGGGTATAGATTGAATGGGTCAAGGGAAAACTGCAAAAAAATGAAAACATGAGGAACACACCATTCATCTGGACGGTGTGCACATGTACATGCAAGTAATCTCTAAGCAATTTGTCCGATATGCACATATGCATAACAAGCACACATGCATAAAAACCAAGAAACAACTTCAATTACTTATATGCCAGGGATGGACCTAGTATAGTGGTTACGGTGGCACATGCCACCATATTATTCCTCCATCGAAGGGTAAAAAATTTAGGTTCGTGAAAGGTGCAACCGTATCAATTTGTTGTGTGCTACCGTATGTATTTTGAAACTATAATGAGAACAAGTTTTATTTGGTAGAGTTGGTTTGCAAGGCTTTTATTCCACCTCAGACTCAAGTTCGAATCTTGTTAGTGTCATTTTCTTAATCAAAGGGTGCCACCGTTTGAAAAAAAATTCCGTATATTTGTTTCTTATAGTCAAACGGTGCCACCATTTGAAAACTTTTCCCTATATTTTTTTCTTATAGTCAAATGGTGCCACCGTTTGAAAAAATTTCTGGGTCGGTCCCTGTTGTACGCACATGTGCATACAAGTCCAGATGAATGGTTACCAAGGTCTTAGTTTTTCATTTTTTTCGGGGTTTTCCCCTCAACCTCCCTCTATATTTACTAGGAATCATTTGTAGCTTCATGCTATCTTTGGTCTTTTGTCAAATCGTGCTTCATCTGGCTGCACATGTATCTTCTAACATAATATCGTTATATTCTCATACAGGATCCATGGGGCAACGGTTGCAGAGTTGCCTCTCATTGCGACATGCAGCAGATATAGGCGCCGAGGAATGTGTCGGCGTCTCATGAATGCTATTGAAGAGGTAACAGTTCTATTTAGAGTACACGAGAAATGGCCGTTTTGGCTCGAGTTTTCCATTGAACTTAAAAGATGTGAATATTTGCATAAAACGTTGAAACCCCCAAATGACCCATCTACTCTGGGTTTGGCGTAACCTTAAGCGCCCAGTTGGCTTGTCAACTGATGAAAGAAATGCTATTGACTTGGGGCTCCTCCCATCCATTTTTTTAAAAACCCATCCATTTCTCTAATTTTTTCATGAAAGGAGAAAGGGCCATGTGGGCCCCACAAAAATCTGGAAACG